ATGATATACCTAGCCAAAGCGTATCTAATGAAATAACTTCATCTAATTAAAATAAATCTATGATATACTTAGCCAAAGCGTATCTAATGAAATACCTTCATCTAATTGAAATATATCTATGATATCCCTAGTCAAAGCGTATCTAATTAAATTACGTCATCTAACCAAAGCGTATCTAATTAAATAACTTCATCTAATAAAATGTATCTATGATATACCTAGTCAAAGCGTATCCAATGAAATACCTTCATCTTATTAAAATTTATCTATGATATACCTAGCCAAAGCGTATCTAATGAAATACCTTCAGCTAGTTAAAATATATCTATGATATACCTAGTTAAAGCGTATCTAATTAAATACCTTCATCTAATTTAAATATATCTATGATATACCTAGCCAAAGCGTATCTAATTAAATAACTTCAGCCAATTAAAATGTATCTATGATATACCTAGTCAAAGCGTATCTTATTAAATACCTTCATCTGATTAAAATGTATCTAATGAGACATCTAATCAAAACGTATCTAATGAAATGCCTTTATCTCATGAAAATACATCTAATGAGACACTTGATCAAAGCTCATCTGATGAAATACCTACATCTAATTAAAATATATCTAATGAGACATCTAATCAAAACGTATCTAATAAAATACCTTCATCTAATTTAAAATACATCTAATGAGACACTTGATCAAAGCTCATCAGATGAAATACCTTGATCCTGATCAAATGTATCTAATGAGACAACTGATCAAAACGTATCTAATGAAATATCTTTATCTCATTAAAATATATCTAATGAGACACTTGATCAAAGCTCATCTTATGAAATACCTTGATCCTGATCAAATGTATCTAATGAGACAACTGATCAAAATGTATCTGATGAAATATCTTCATCTAATTAAAATAGTAAACGTCTGAGACCTGCATCTCTATGGGCTTTCCTCCCACATTAAGCTGACCTCCCTTGATATAACTGGAATACTGTTAAAAGCGGCGTTAAACCCAACTCACTCACTCACTCTAATAAAAATATATCTAATGAGGCACCTGATCAAAACGTATCTAATTAAATACTTTCATCTAATTAAAATATAACTAATGGGGCACTTGATCAAAGCTCACCTGATGAAATACCTTGATCCTGATCAAATGTATCTAATGAGACAACTGATCAAAGCGTATCTGATGAAATACCTTCATCTAATTAAAATAGTAAACGTCTGAGACCTGCATCTCTTCGGGCTTTCCTCCCACATTAAGCTGACATCCCGTGATATAACTGGAATACTGTTAAAAGCGGCGTTAAACCCAACTCACTCACTCGTTCTAATTAAAATATATCTGATGAGACACCTGATCAAAACGTTTCTAATGAAATACCTTCATCTAATTAAAATGCATCTAATGAAATACCTTCATCTAATTAAAATGCATCTGATGAAATACCTTCATCTAATTAAAATGTATCTAATGAAATACCTTCATCTAATTAACACGTATCTAATGAGCGAAAGCGACATTAATGCCAAGGTGAGGAGGAGACTCTCTGGCTGCCCACTGGTGTTGCCCGGATTCTCCACCAGTTGTGACTTCGCCAAGTACTTACCCAAAGTTTAGTTATGGCTGTAGTAGCGTAACAAATTGACCATTGGGGATCACAACTATGCCACACTTCCTACTGTAAGTAGAGCCTTTATTTAGTGGACACTTGTAGACATCGATCAAGAGTGTGACTGGGGGTCCCAGGACCATGGCCCAGTCCATGAAGTGACTGCCAAGTTCAATACATTGTACAAGTAGAAGCATACAGTTTTATATATGGTAATTAAGCGAAGTAACCGAAGAACGTCGCAAGCTCCGACGTTCATACAGTTTGGCCCTCACTCTATGAAGGTCCATACTCCAATGAACTCACACAACGTGAAAGTCAATTCTTAAATAATACAATTTCATGCCATGAACATGAATTCATTGAATTTAACTTTTAAAGTTATGCCTTTATAATCTATAATGAAGCTAAGATTGGCCATGCATCACAAGTGGCATGTCGCTTAGGGCGTCAATCAGCAATCCTTCATGATAAATGATGGACACCGTCACAAAGGACGGACAGGAAAACCTGTGACCCTATAACAATTTTATATCTATTGTATGACGTCAGTGCGCCAGTTGTGGTAGACAATAAGGTTTTTCTTTGATGATTGTACTGTTAACTTATATTTCTTTACGCTTATAACTTATATAAATCCTTTTTCACATTTTGTAAACATATACATAAGTAGCTGTTTGAAAGTGTAACCAAAATCACAGCCTGTAGTACAGGATACACGAGAAAGCCGATTGCCTTAAGCTTCTTGCATGAGGACACTTTCGGGTAATTACAAACGTGGTCTCCACGACGAATCTCGTTTGCTGATCAACTGATGTGGTCTCCACGACGTTTCTCGTTTGCTGATCAATGATGTGGTCTCCACGACGTTTCTCGTTTGCTGATCAATGATGTGGCCTCCACGATGTATCTCGTTTGCTGATCAATGATGTGGTCTCCACGACGTTTCTCGTTTGCTGATCAATTATGTGGTCTCCACGACGTATCTCTTTATCTGATCAATGATGTGGCCTCCACGACGAATCTCGTTTGCTGATCAATTATGTGGCCTCCACGACGTATCTCGTTTGCTGATCAATGATGTGGTCTCCACGACGTATCTCGTTTGCTGATCAATGATGTGGCCTCCACGACGTATCTCATTTGTTGATCAATGATGTGGTCTCCACGACGTATCTCGTTTGCTGATCATCAGGTGAATAATAGTAGTTCTGCTGGCCTAATAGTCGCATTATAAGTTTGAGCATGTAAGTCTTGTCATAGCACAATAAATCCTATTCTTTTTGCGAGCAAGACGGTAATTTATAACCGATCGGAGGTGGGAAACATTGACATAGATACAATACTGGTGGCCTTGTAGGAATCTAAACTGTTTCATGATGAAGTTTTCTGACTGTTACCATGCATGGCACAGATATGGACAGTTAAAACATTAATATTGGGCAATATATCATTCCTCTTTAAATGCTTGTGTAACTATGTTATCATTATGCTCTCCAAACACGCCAATTAACTCATGTTTTCTCATACCCTCGTCAATTCTTAAAACAAAACAAGGCTAGAATTAATAATATTAACACCCTGTACAAGGACATCTGACATGGATAACACGGATGTGAATCTAATGACTTCAATCCCTAAACGTATCATTAGCCAGCTCTCTAAATGTATGTGCCATGTCATGCCATCTATTATAATATTTGAAATTTCTATACATACATATTGTACATATACATTTGTACTTGTTATGTTTTGTTCTATGGGATGGTGGGCTTAAGTCTATGAATAAAATCATTTCACAATACACGGATAGCATGTATAGCAGAGACACATTACTTTGTAGCACCTGTGCGGATTCCGGAATAGGCCCACGTAAGCCATCTCTGCCCCAAGAGCTGAACAAATCGAGGGAGTGCGGTCAGCTATGTTCGAGCGACATAACGGTGTCCGGTAGCTGCAACACTCATGTGCATGAACCACCATCCACAGCATCGGGATTCTTAGGCACGCAGCCTGGCCACCCGCACCGACGACGAGCTCTTACAATAAGCATCAGGTACGGTCAAAACAGATCTTAGTTCTCGCTTCCGCTAAACAAAGATCTGAGGACATCCCATTACGGGTCACGTCAGAACGAACTTTCACCCGACAATTCAGAGCCTCGCTTACCACAATCAGTCAGACATACGTGACAGAAAGCTGTTTTTCGATTGTCTACTGTCGATTTCTTCTTAGTCATATGTCGGTCAAAGTTCGAGAAAGGTCATTCTGACGTGACCTGTTATGGGATGTGCACAGACCTTTGTTTAGCTGTAGCAAGAACTAAGACCTGATTTGAATGAGATTGACCCACGGTGGTCTAAATGAGCGTCGTGTGGCCACATTGTGTGACATGGTTGATTGTGTGTACTTGTACCCCGACGGCGCGAATAGTTATTCAACGGCTTTGGTCAACCAGCAGTATCATCCTGATGCAATTATGTTCAGGCCGCTACAGTACAGCAGCGTAATTCAATATTCAGTCAATTAGTAGTGTGAACAATTCAATGTCTATCTTATTTTTTCTGGTGAAGAAATACAGTGACAGAAGTCGATAAACTACAACTTGATTTGAGGAGTTGTATTTGCAGAGTATTCAAGAGTATTCAAAGGATTTAAATTTCAGATTACGTTGTTATTGTTACTCTATCCCAGGGATGCAGCAACCATATTTACGTCGTTTTCGTAACTGTCTTGCTCGCATAAACCCGTTTGCATAATTAGGCTCCATCAGTTTGATTACTGTTATTTTTTATTGATTTTTTTCAAACAATTTTTATTCCATTTCAATAGTATACAGAAAATATGTTAAGGAAAGTATGGCATAACAGCATGTGATATTAATTAAATTGTACATTGTGGGAGGCATTACTCTCAAACAGTCGATATCTGTGTATAAACAAGTGTATAATGTGTTCAGAATTGTAATAACATTATATTTTATGAGTGATTCAGTCGATCAGTGGTGTCAGGAACTTGACTTGAAGACATAAAAACATAATCAAAATAGTTTAAATTGTTTGCTATGGTTACGAAATTAGTTGTTACATTAATAAACAATGGGTAGGATTTAAATCTTTAAAAAATCAAATATGAAGTGATTCTTGATCAAACAAGAGAGTATGTTCACTAAATAATTCCATTTTTTGTGAAATATATATTGAGTGTTATTGTTATAAGCAATATAGTTTTCTGTTTACCAAATGTCCGTGTCAATCTTTAAAAAGTTCTCAAAGGATAACTTCTGCTGCTTGGTGCTTGAGACATAAATAAATATTTACCTGCTAGGAGAATAGAGTTCACAACACTGTTATCAGTAAAAAAGACAATACTATATCTTTCGAAAGTGATGTCAAGTTTAAGGCTTCTCTTTATAAATGACTGAACTTGCACCCAAGAGGCACGACCACATTCAAAATCACAATATACATGTAAAAGATCTTTGCTATTACAGTTGCAAAAGGAGCATACATCTTTATCATCAATTTCATCTTAAGTACTTCTTTTTTTGGTGTAAATAACTTTGTATATCAATTTATACTGAAACTCTAACAATTTCACATCTTTAATTGATTTTCTAAATTGGGTAAATACTAAATTTCATTGTATTTAGATGATATATTTTCCCACTTCTCAAGAATTTTATCAAATTTGCTGAACTGATGAATTTATCAAACAAAAATCCGAGATCCTTTTGTACTGGAGAGGAGATTCAAATAAAACATGTTGGTACCTTTGTTATATAAAATATAAACTTGATCTTTAATTATACTCAACAACAAAAGTTCCTGTGACACCAATATTTTAGTGTTTTTTTCAAACAAGTAAAGTCTGGTTTTCAATATCGAAGTACATGATTGGAATCAAGTCACAAAAACGCAACTGCTACAGAAAAGCATGCATTCCATGCAAAAATTGACTTTTATGCAAGCCCCATGCATTTCACTACCAATCCCGAGCTGGCAGATGGCCACTTTGTCTTGATCTAGCTCGAAGAGACAAATAGACAAGCTACAATTACATAATATCAGCCTTTACTTGGCGTACCAGGGATTAAATACAGAAAATGTGAAGGTGTGTAATTGGTCAGTGTTAATCAGTGGCAATCTCTACACAAGCAACGTTATACATATAAAAAGGATGAAACGCAGTATGTTTAATATAATCTTCATGAAATGTACACACACACACACACACACACACACACACACACACACCAAAAGATAAACCTAGTGGGAGTCTTCTCCCTTTTGTTAAGAACTACACAAAAAATGTCACTTATAAACTAATTAAAATTTAATACAATCCTTAATGTCAAACAGATTCTTGCTAGGGATTCTTTCTCAAAAGGAAAACGAGAAGGTAAAACAGTACAAAAGTGTAACAGACCCAATTGCGGTACTTGCCCTCATGTTTTACAATGTTGTTCTTGTACTTTCAAAGAAACACTTTCTATGTCCGTGAAAATATGAATTGTACTTCCAAAAACTTGATTTATGTCATACAGTGTGCTGGATGCAAAGCCGAATACATTGGACAGAGGGTGAGAGTCCACCGACAACAAACAAGGAACCCCTCTATAGCCGGTGTGTCCCACTCAGTCAACACACTGATCAATGTGCCGGGAATAAAGCACCAAATTTTGTCATATTCCCGTTTTACAAATGTGAAAATGATGCACTGAGAAAGATAAAAGAATTAATTCTTTCAAACCGAAATTAAATGATTCTTGATCAAACAAGAGAGTATGTTCACTAAATAATTCCATTTTTTGTGATATATATATTGAGTGTTATTGTTATAAGCAATATAGTTTTCTGTTTACCAAATGTCCGTGTCAATCTTTAAAAAGTTCTCAAAGGATAACTTCTGCTGCTTGGTGCTTGAGACATAAATAAATATTTACCTGCTAGGAGAATAGAGTTCACAACACTGTTATCAGTAAAAAAGACAACACTATATCTTTCGAAAGTGATGTCAAGTTTAAGGCTTCTCTTTATAAATGACTGAACTTGCACCCAAGAGGCACGACCACATTCAAAATCACAATATACAAGTAAAAGATCTTTGCTATTACAGTTGCAAAAGGAGCATACATCTTTATCATCAATTTCATCTTAAGTACTTCTTTTTTTGGTGTAAATAACTTTGTATATCAATTTATACTGAAACTCTAACAATTTCACATCTTTAATTGATTTTCTAAATTGGGTAAATACTAAATTTCATTGTATTTAGATGATATATTTTCCCACTTCTCAAGAATTTTATCAAATTTGCTGAACTGATGAATTTATCAAACAAAAATCCGAGATCCTTTTGTACTGGAGAGGAGATTCAAATAAAACATGTTGGTACCTTTGTTATATCAAATATAAACTTGATCTTTAATTATACTCAACAACAAAAGTTCCTGTGACACCAATATTTTAGTGTTTTTTTCAAACAAGTAAAGTCTGGTTTTCAATATCGAAGTACATGATTGGAATCAAGTCACAAAAACGCAACTGCTACAGAAAAGCATGCATTCCATGCAAAAATTGACTTTTATGCAAGCCCCATGCATTTCACTACCAATCCCGAGCTGGCAGATGGCCACTTTGTCTTGATCTAGCTCGAAGAGACAAATAGACAAGCTACAATTACATAATATCAGCCTTTACTTGGCGTACCAGGGATTAAATACAGAAAATGTGAAGGTGTGTAATTGGTCAGTGTTAATCAGTGGCAATCTCTACACAAGCAACGTTATACATATAAAAAGGATGAAACGCAGTATGTTTAATATAATCTTCATGAAATGTACACACACACACACACACACACACACCAAAAGATAAACCTAGTGGGAGTCTTCTCCCTTTTGTTAAGAACTACACAAAAAATGTCACTTATAAACTAATTAAAATTTAATACAATCCTTAATGTCAAACAGATTCTTGCTAGGGATTCTTTCTCAAAAGGAAAACGAGAAGGTAAAACAGTACAAAAGTGTAACAGACCCAATTGCGGTACTTGCCCTCATGTTTTACAATGTTGTTCTTGTACTTTCAAAGAAACACTTTCTATGTCCGTGAAAATATGAATTGTACTTCCAAAAACTTGATTTATGTCATACAGTGTGCTGGATGCAAAGCCGAATACATTGGACAGAGGGTGAGAGTCCACCGACAACAAACAAGGAACCCCTCTATAGCCGGTGTGTCCCACTCAGTCAACACACTGATCAATGTGCCGGGAATAAAGCACCAAATTTTGTCATATTCCCGTTTTACAAATGTGAAAATGATGCACTGAGAAAGATAAAAGAATTAATTCTTTCAAACCGAAATTAAATGATTCTTGATCAAACAAGAGAGTATGTTCACTAAATAATTCCATTTTTTGTGAAATATATATTGAGTGTTATTGTTATAAGCAATATAGTTTTCTGTTTACCAAATGTCCGTGTCAATCTTTAAAAAGTTCTCAAAGGATAACTTCTGCTGCTTGGTGCTTGAGACATAAATAAATATTTACCTGCTAGGAGAATAGAGTTCACAACACTGTTATCAGTAAAAAAGACAATACTATATCTTTCGAAAGTGATGTCAAGTTTAAGGCTTCTCTTTATAAATGACTGAACTTGCACCCAAGAGGCACGACCACATTCAAAATCACAATATACATGTAAAAGATCTTTGCTATTACAGTTGCAAAAGGAGCATACATCTTTATCATCAATTTCATCTTAAGTACTTCTTTTTTTGGTGTAAATAACTTTGTATATCAATTTATACTGAAACTCTAACAATTTCACATCTTTAATTGATTTTCTAAATTGGGTAAATACTAAATTTCATTGTATTTAGATGATATATTTTCCCACTTCTCAAGAATTTTATCAAATTTGCTGAACTGATGAATTTATCAAACAAAAATCCGAGATCCTTTTGTACTGGAGAGGAGATTCAAATAAAACATGTTGGTACCTTTGTTATATAAAACCTGATCTTGTCCTTTTGCAAAAAAACCAATGATTTCATTTATATCATTGAAGATTGAGGAAAAACATGGCAAATATGCGGACCTCGCTTTCGAAATGTCACGCTTGCGTCCCAAGTACCAAGTTGTGCGACTCCCCATTGTTCTCGGTGCCTTAGGTTTGGTACCTCCCAATCTGTTGACTGACATTGGGAGAGTACCCGGGTTTGCTACGGCCCTTCTGAGAATCTGGGTAATGCAGAAGGCTTCAGTGTCGGGAGTCTTCACATTCTCCGAAAAAGTCTGGGTGGGTTTGACTAGGCAGCGCTTCCTGGGAGAAGTCGGATTCGCTGTCTGGGCTGCTTATAGAGGGGGCAAGGGCCCTGAGTTGATGATCAGCCTAACCAGCCTGACTGTGCAAGGATCACCCAAACCCTATTTGTTGCATTTTTATATAATAATAAAACTTTATATGCCCGAATGGGAATTTGTTATACATCAATTGCCGTGATGGCATAAGCTATATATATATACATATCCATGAAATATACACAAAGAGAATTAAGAACATAAGATTTGACATTAAAAGAAACACTAACAATGAAACACTGAACAAGCATACAAATAAAATTAGGACTGTCATCAAAAATAATGGAAGAATGAATTATATGTTGTAGGCAAATATTTGTTTAAAATAGCAACGCTGCATAGAATGAATTTTATGCTCTGTTGGTGATAAGACAGCTTTGATCAAGTGATCAAGTTACTGTCAGCAACCCTTCGATATGGAGAATTAGCTTTTGGGGGTTAGCCTTGAAACAAGAGAGGGAAGAGCTGTAAGTTCCTCCGGGTTTATTCAAGCCAGTGTGCTGAGGACCGAACACCCAAGGGCCTATATACCCCACAGCTCTTCTTGTATAACATCAACAATTTCTATGTTATCCGCCCTGAACTGTCAAAGTTTCCTACACATAGAAGGTGCTAAGAAAATAGTCTCAATATTTCCTAACAAGAGTTGATTTTAATTCCAGTTTTAGCCGATGGTCAAACATACGCCAGCTGATAGCAAAAACATTTATCAGTGCTTGACCGAGAGAAGAGAAGAAATGCCTTTGCCTATGCAGGCCGTGCCCGCCGTCTTTATCTAGGATTGCGCAATTTAATGACATGCTAAGGGACGGCTGCAGCGGTTGACTAGTGGCGATATAAACGAGATATATACTAGTCTAGCGACTTGCAAATATAAGAATTTCCTTTGTTGAGCATAAATTGTGAAAAATATAAAATCATAATCTGTTTTTGGTGTTTAGAGAAAGAGATCCTAACCAACTAGGCATACAGAAACGCAGAAATGCTTAGAATAAAAGATTTGTAAAACAGAAAAGACTAAAATTGCTGACTATAAAAGACCTAAGGTTGCATAAAAAGTAGAGACGTTGTTGACATATTTTTGTAAATTCTATTGATATTTTCTGTAAAATCCATATTTTACTCCAAAGTCTATAATCATCTCTTTGGTTTTCTTTGTATTGAGAATTAAAAAGTTTTTACACAAATTGCTAAATGTGCCAATAGCTCTACAGTGTACATTACGGGGCATCATCGTTGTCACTTATAAGTCCAACAAGGGCTGCGTCATCTGAAAATTGTATAGTAAACGTTCCATCTTCATCACTCCTGCTGTCATTGCTATACAATGTGAAAAGCACTTGAGATAGCACGCAACCCTGTGGAGCACCAGTGTTTAATAGTCTGCTTTATGAGCGTGTCTTATTAACTTGGAGGTACTGAACCCGGTTACAATATCAAGACACTGGTTATTACAGTTTACATTCTGAAAACGGTGGAAGAATGATTTGGGATAATAAATATAATCTCACCCTTAACCTTAAATATAAACAACGCTCGTCGATTAAAGATAAATAACTCGGCCAGCCCCATGGGTTTAAACCAGTATCGCGTTGATATGATTGATATCAAAAGACACTGGGGTAAGATTTTTTTTATTTCCCGCAGATAAAGCCTAAGAACACTTGGAGCATCATGTTCACCAGTGCGCCATTAGGGTGAATCTCTTCATTTTCAAACGCAACTGTCATGTCCCAGATGTCGAGATACAACACCCGGTCATAAAGATTTACAAACTCCTTTTTAAGGATGTTTTCATACGCAGGTCCCCACATACCTCCAAGTGGCGTTACCGGTTTCGGTACCGAAAATTTATGTGGACTTTTGATGGCAATTTTGATACCAGGAGAACGTTTTAGTAGGTTTTCTATGGCAAGTTTTGTTCTGTGGACACGAGCTCTGTAGATGTGGATTGGAGTGAAATGGAAATGAGCATACAGATTAATAAGTATGATATCTGTAGATCCAGGAGGTATGTCGTCTAAGCGTGCAAACACTGGCTGGGTGATTGTTTTGTTAGCTTCGGCAAACCACATTGGGAACCCATGGGGAAGCAGGTATACTGTATAGTTATATTTGGTGTGGTATGCCTCACACACTGTTGGTCCTTGGTAAAAGTTTCTTTTCTTGCTTTTTTTAACTTCCGGTGGACCTTTTGTAATAGTGAAACCTAGCATCGAATAAAGCGCCCCAAACATTTGTCTGGCGGTAGAGTCGCCAAACAACCTCAGAGTTCTGTTAGCCAGACATTGATTAAACGTGTCAACAGGGACACTGTTCCAACACGATAGAGGACGCCACGTGTTGTTGTAGGAGAAGCCAACAGGTGGCGTTGCCAACCATGTATCCCGGAAGTTCCTTTGAGAACAAGGAGTAGTGGGAATCACCGTGCGATCTTTCTCTGTAAAGAAAACGAAAACGCATAGCACAAAAGACCCATGTCTAAATTGAGTGTCTGTAGAAAAACATTTTTTAATTACAAAAATTTGTATTTGAATGGGATATTATTAGCTTGCCATTTAACAAAAACAAAATAGAAACATACAAAATCTTCATTAATTAAACTGTTTCTGAAAGCCCCCATAACATAGTTAACTACAATCTTGTGATCGAAACGTCTTAAGACTATCATTGTAGAATTTTCGGATAATTATTCTATTTTCCAAAGTGGCCATCATGGCACTGGTGACACCACCCTAGCGAGGGACAACACTGGACGGACTAATCGAATGTCTGTCGCAATGGACCCTAAAAGGTGATATATATCTTTATTGCCCATAGGATAACTAATAACCGAGTTCATAAAACTCGTATGTGCACTTGTGCAGATATCACTTCACGCACACCATACCAGTGTATTATTTACATCATCCGGACTTCATTGTTGACCTCATTGGAATCTTATTGTGACCTAAGGCCGGAACGAGGTCACACTATATAAGGCGTCATGGCTGGAGATTGTTGATGTCATTCGACAATTGTGGTCGTGATCAGTGCATTTTTGTAAAGTGAGAGTTCCAAAGGATTATGAAATAATGGGTAATAAAGACATTATTACACCAACACGTGTGCCATACTGATTTAACGAAACCCGTGTAAGAATCCATGTATTAACCTCCCTCTAGCTCAGGAAATACAAAAGTTCTAACACGCGCTTCGTAAAATCAGTGTGACACATGCTCGTTTAATAATAATATCTCCATGTACCACTTCTGTGACATGATAAATGTACACATACCGTGTATGTTGGACGATATATTTATAGTGATAAAGTCCGTTAGGTACTCTGTAGACGTCCGTCTGAAACATATTCATATGTTAAATTCAAAATAATCTAGACTGGACTTCAGTAAATTAGACCCTATGTTCCTGAGTATAAAGTGCTCAAAGAAAGGATTTGATGTGTATAACTTAAGTAACATTTTCAGACTAGCATAGGTTTACCTAAATGTCCCACAACATTTCAAATTTCAGGAACCGCCAACACCTCCATTTTCCTATACGAACATCTTTTCATCAAGTTGTTCAATCATTGTTGCAGAACGTGGACTTGGGAGCTCATGCTGTAACTTCTGCTTCTTGTGGCTGCCGAGACTCAACATACTGCTACCAACCTGTTGGTCAGGTAATCACAGGTGACTTCTCTGTTGTAGATAATAACAACCTTCGTCAGTTATTCAAATAAGACCCCAACTATCGTGAACAGCCTCCTAACATTCAGGATAACATCATTAAAATCATTATGGATGCTGTCGTCATATGTCTAAAAATGGCCCCAGAGAGAAGATGAGTGGGTTAAGTCCGTGCGTGATGTTGTCCATGGTGCACGAACTGAAAATGTTGAATTGGAATCCCAGAATCCCAGAAACCCATTCTGTCCTATCATCCAAAGTCTGGTTGTCATACATGAAAAGTTTGCAGTTGTTCCCACTGAAAAGGCTTTACATAACATAACCATTATATGTTAGCACCACTACATTAATTATTTGATAAAAGAACGTGGAATAAAGGACATATATAAAATGCCATGACGCTAGTATGTTAACTGAGGAAACACGCACCAGTACTAACAACTTTTGACTTTTTGATTCTCCAACCTGAAGATACATTCATTTCTTTGTTGTTCGGGATTCCAAAGCTCCATAAAAATCTGAAAATGTATCACTTTAATCCCCTTTTCAAAGATGAACTAGAATCACTCAGACAATCAAGGCAGGACTTTCTGTATGTTGACTGCATTATGAGTTGATGTCCACGCGAAGGTGAACACCAGATCGCTACAAAATGCACATATAACATATTTATACACGACTATTACAATAAATATGCAATGATATATGTTGAATTCCTTGATTCGCAAACATGGACAATTATTAAATATCCCGGTTAGAATAGGTCTTCAGCAACCCATGCTTGTCGTAAGAGGTGACTAACAGGGTCGAGTGGTCAGGCTCGCAGACCTGGTTGATGCATGTCATCGCGTCAAAATTGCGTTGGTCGATGCTTAGGATATCAATCACTGGAATATCTGGTCCACACCCTATTATTTACAGACCGTCGTCATGTAGCTGGAATATTGCTGTGTGCGGCGTTAAACAGCCAACCATCCATCTGATTGTCGAACTGAGAATCTAACAGAATAGTGTAAATGTGCTTTGATCCATATAAACAGATATGGAACTGAGAAATATTAAAGAAAAGTAAAATAGTTTGTTTTGTTTTTCTGGCAGACCGTCAGTGTCTGGGCAGTTTTCCATAATAGCATTTCTCAACCTGTAGAAAGTAAAAAAATCTGAATCAACTTCATTCTTTTTTTTAACACTTTCACTTTCATCCAGTAAATGACTAAGGCATTTTATTCCCGCTTCATACCAATGTCTACAATAAATACACGTTTGGTTATTCTTTATATTGTCGTTGACCCATATATATTTTGTCTCTTTTAACTTTATCTGGTTTTCCATGCCAAATAAAATGAAAACATTTTTTTCTGAAAGTTCTGTTATATACGGGTGTTAGCGAATAGGTGGGCTAATTTTGGTCGGAGTTATGGTATTGTGGCCAAGTGGAGTCAGTATTCTACAATACCATAGTTTCATTTGGTTTTATATTTCTAAACATGTCAATATGATGAACATCATAATAATTTCAAAGTTAACACCAAACCAATTCCTAATAACTTAAATGATTCTACCCTTTCTACATTCCATTCCTTAGACAGTTTTAACCTGCGTCGTTTCTTAAACCAATCCATATCAATTTTGTCTTTTCTATATTGACCTCAAGTCCTGAAAACGTGCACAAAAAGGTTAGGGTATTAAGAACTTCACAGAGGAATCATTCTGATCCTTCTACAGTCAGTGTAGTGTAATCAGCAATGTGGCCTAACATATGTTCAATGCTACCTATCTTTATACCCTTTCTCCAATAGTTACTCTTTGACAATCTTGTACAAATGTCAGTGCAAATGATGAACAGATATGGCGATATTGGTTCCCCTTGACGACAACCCTTTCTAATTTAAAGAAAGAGGTTGAGAAAACATTAACTAATACACACGACTCTGAATTATAATTAAGAATTTGTATCCAATTTCGAAGTGACGGTCCCAAATTAAAATATTTCAGTATATTCTGAATGAATTTCTAATCTATAGAATCCAAAGCCTTTTCAAAGTCTATTAACATAAAAAAACCTGAGATATGTTGCCTTTGGGGTAATCCATTAAATCACAAAACTTTCTCGTAACCTCTCCAATAAATCTACCAGGTAAATAACCTTTTCTGTTGTTCACTTGCAATACAAGATAGCACCGCTTGAACACGGTGAGCGGTAGCCGCTGATGCAAGTTTATGCGAAACATTGACCAGAGAAATTGGTCTCCAATTTTCAAAGCTTTTGGGGGCTTATTGTCCTTTGAAATGCATTTAATTATACACTGAACCCTGGACCTGAGTAGGATGACATGGACACATTCAATATTCCAGTTATATCACATATTATCTTCCCATTTCCACTTTCCAATTCGGTAAATGATAAATTTAAAAACGTCCAGCTTCCTATTTCAGGAAGAAATTTACATAATCTTTATGTTTTATTTGTTTGTTTGTTGTTTAACGCCGCACTCAATAACATTCCAGCTATATGACAGCCGGCGTAAATAATTGAATCTGGACCAGACATTCCAGGGATTGACATCATGAGCATCGATCTGTGCAACTAGGATACGATAACATGCATCAACCAATTCAGGAAGCTTGACCACCCGATCCCGTTAGTTGCCTCATACGATAAGCACAGTCGCGTCGTAAGACAAACACGGGTGGCTGGAAAAACTATTCTAACACGGATCTTCACGGGTTACATAATCCTTGTGGTGTAACAGAGAATTATTGCATTTCCAAAAACATTTCCTTCTTTATTTTCACTTCATTTTTACAGATAAAAGTTGAATATGTGAAATAAGGACGAAATCAAGTCAAGATTGTTTTAAAGTGGTTGCCCATCTTCCCGAGGTAAGGGGGTTAACTGACTATAAGTCCAGTGGAAAATCAAATTAGCCCCCTTGCCTCGGGAAGATGGACTTGGCCGAAGCCACGTGTATCTTCTTTCATCAGGATATTTACACGCCATACACCCTGAAGATCATATGCTGTTTCATTTCCAGTACTTTATTTTTTTCCTTTATTGTTCATATTTCTAAAACTAAATTGATCAATAACCGGATCTAGAACCATGTTCCAGTCACCACAAAGTACAAGATATTTTGCATCCGATTCTTAAATGACATTGGGCAATATTTTCAAAACATTCTTGGGAGTCAAAGTCACCGTTTGTATGCAACCCACGAGAACCCCTAGGGTCTATTACCCCCGAGCACATGGTTTACGCCCAAATAATGACGATACCAGGTTTTCGCCAAAATGGGTGTGGATCCTGCCCTGCCAGTGGCACCCGTCACAAACACATGCAAAGGCAAGTTAATTCTTACAATCCAGGAAATGGTGTTCGAAGCTGGTTGAAAAGTCTGTGTATTCGTACAGGCAAGTACATAAGGCCCAACTCAAGTCGTACAATACCTCGAATTGTCTTGCTCTTATCAGGTGCAGTCTTTAAGAAATAGTGCGTGTGTGCGTGTGTGCGTGAGTGCGTGCGTGAGTGAAGGAGTGAGAAGAGGGAATACTTACTCTGCAAACCATCTCGTGTCAGCCCCAAAGGTCATGTAGTTGTGAGGTAAAGAGGTTTCAGTCCAGTCATGACATCCCAACCCTTTAGTTTGGGGTTTCCCAGAGTAGAATGTGACTCCAAAATAGTCGGCTGTCAGATTACAAAAGGGGTGTTTTTTCATATATCTCATATCCATATATCCACTTGTGGTCTCCTTTGTAATATTTGACCTGAATGTACAGACAATGTTTTTACCAAAATATCCATTTCGGAATGAACGATATATGTGCGTCATTCTCTCTCTGGACGAAATCATAGCTGCCCGAATTATGGCTCTTCCTGTCCATAAGGCGCGCAGAACTCCAGTATATGTTCCATTCCCATGGTCGGTCACAGTTCCGGCTGAGGCAGCGCCACGTTGGGGATCTTTCATCCACACCACTAACATATCGCCACCACGTGTTTTCGATCTATTCCCACGATCAAAAAGAAGAATTTTGATTTTGACCATTTCATTATTCTGATATGTATGTTTTATATCACTTAATGACATGCGCGAGAGAGACCCAGAAGCGTGGGTAGTCACGTCATTAACATTGCTGTCGTTAACCATGTCCTCTTCTTCTATGTGAGACTTTAACGCAGGTTCTGATGTATGTTTTGTTGTGGCCTGGAATTGGTGTCCCAGGGAATCTATGATTTGAAACCTGAAACACAGATCATTTTAATTTATCTGTAGGGCAATAATATATTTAAATATATTTAAATAGAGCCATATTTTTGTTTAGTTATTCTGTTTTTAGGGGCAGTAGGCAAATAGGACCTTTTCATGTTGCTGTCATGGAGCACATGTTAGACACCACTGCTGCGTCCACACACACACACACACACACACACACACACACACACACACACACACACACACACACACACACAAACTTCATAAACTCAGATGACGGGTCCAAAATACAGAACATCTAGAAAAACGAGGTTCCATGAAGATCAAAGATCACAGCAAGTCAAACTACGATAAATAACCCCAATTGTTATTGCTTTTTACTATTAGAGGAATATGTCGTTCTTTCAAATAAAAAAAAGCGACAAAACTCTTTCCATATTCATAAGATATCTCCACTAAAGGCCGAGTCCAATGTTAGATTCTGACTTTGTCATGAGCATTGTGTTTATGCAGCTCTGTCAAATATTGACACCAGGTGTTCGCAAAAAAGTGAGCGTATGCAATCAATGAAACAATGAAATCAATCAATTAAACAATTAAAACAATCAATGAAATGTTTAGGTTAATTGTATTCTGACTGAGTAACCCCCGCAATTTGTATGTAGATTGAAATTTTCACTTCTTTAGAAATAGAATTGCAACATAAACAATTCAATATCTAAACGCTACACACCTGTTTGGCCACGAAAGGAAAACAGTCGCAACCATGAGAAGAACCAGAAGCAGGGAAAAGGTCTTTAGTCGAGATCCCATAGCAATCTGTGGAATGAACCGAAGTGCTCAGAACATTGTATGAAGATGGGTTAATGTCATTTTAAAAAGTATTTAAGACATCATGGCGTGTAACCTCCATGTAGGGCGTGACACCTTAATGTAGGGCGTGACACCTTAATGTAGGTCGTGACACCTTCATGTAGGGCGTGACAGCTTCATGTAGGACGTGACACCTTCATGTAGGGCGTGACACCTTCATGTAGGGCGTGACACCTTAATGTAACGCGTGACACCTTAATGTAGGACGTGACACCTTAATGTAGGGCGTGAAAACTTCATGTAGGGCGTGACACCTTCATGTAGGGCGTGACACCTTAATGTAGGTCGTGACACCTTCATGTAGGTCGTGACAGCTTCGTGTAGGACGTGACAACTTCATGTAGGGCGTGACACCTTAATGTAGGACGTGACACCTTAATGTAGGGCGTGACACCTTAATGTAGGGCGTGACACTTTAATGTAGGACGTGACACCTTAATGTAGGGCGTGACAGCTTCATGTAGGACGTGATACCTTCATGTAGGGCGTGACACCTTAATGTAGGACGTGACACCTTAATGTAGGGCGTGACACCTTAATGTAGGTCGTGACACCTTCATGTAGGGCGTGACAGCTTAATGTAGGACGTGACACCTTAATGTAGGACGTGACACCTTCATGTAGGGTGTGACACCTTAATGTAGGGCGTGACACCTTAATGTAGGATGTGACACCTTAATGTAGGGCGTGACAACTTCATGTAGGGCGTGACACCTTAATGTAGGGCGTGACACCTTAATGTAGGGCGTGACACCTTAATGTAGGTCGTGACACCTTCATGTAGGGCGTGACAGCTTCATGTAGGACGTGACAACTTCATGTAGGGCGTGATACCTTAATGTAGGACGTGACACCTTAATGTAGGGCGTGACACCTTAATGTAGGACGTGACACCTTAATGTAGGGCGTGACACCTTAATGTAGGGCGTGACACTTTAATGTAGGACGTGACACCTTAATGTAGGGCGTGACAGCTTCATGTAGGACGTGATACCTTCATGTAGGGCGTGACACCTTAATGTAGGACGTGACACCTTAATGTAGGGCGTGACACCTTAATGTAGGTCGTGACACCTTCATGTAGGGCGTGACAGCTTAATGTAGGACGTGACACCTTAATGTAGGACGTGACACCTTCATGTAGGGCGTGACACCTTAATGTAGGGCGTGACACCTTAATGTAGGATGTGACACCTTAATGTAGGGCGTGACAACTTCATGTAGGGCGTGACACCTTAATGTAGGGCGTGACACCTTAATGTAGGACGTGACACCTTAATGTAGGTCGTGACACCTTCATGTAGGGCTTGACAGCTTCATGTAGGACGTGATACCTTCATGTAGGGCGTGACACCTTAATGTAGGACGTGACACCTTAATGTAGGGCGTGACACCTTAATGTAGGGCGTGACACCTTAATGTAGGGCGTGACACCTTAATGTAGGGCGTGACACCTTAATGTAGGACTTGACATCTTCATGTAGGGCGTGACAGCTTCATGTAGGACGTGACAGCTTCATTTAGGGCGTGACGCCTTAATGTAGGACGTAACACCTTAAAGTAGGGCGTGGCACCTTAATGTAGGACGTGACACCTTAATGTAGGAGGTGAAACCTTCATGTAGGGCGTGACAGCTTCATGTAGGACGTGACACCTTCATGTTGGGCGTGACAGCTTCATGTACGACGTGACAGCTTCATGTAGGGCTCGACACCTTAATGTAGGTCGTGACACCTTCGTGTAGGTCGTGACAGCTTCATGTAGGACGTGACAACTTCATGTAGGGCGTGACACCTTAATGTAGGACGTGACACCTTAATGTAGGGCGTGACACCTTAATGTAGGGCGTGACACTTTAATGTAGGACGTGACACCTTAATGTAGGGCGTGACAGCTTCATGTAGGACGTGATACCTTAAGGTAGGGCGTGACACCTTAATGTAGGACGTGACACCTTAATGTAGGGCGTGACAACTTCATGTAGGATCTGACACCTTAATGTAGGGCGTGACAATTTCATGTAGGGTGTGACACCTTAAAGTAGGGCGTGACAACTTCATGTAGGGCGTGACACCTTAATGTAGGGCGTGACACCCTAATGTAGGGCGTGACACCCTAATGTAGGGCGTGACACCGTAATGTTCGACGTGACACCTTAATGTAGGACGTGACACCTTAATGTAGGGCATGACACCCTAATGTAGGGCGTGACACCGTAATGTTCGACGTGACACCTTAATATAGGACGTGACACCTTAATGTAGGGCTTGACAGCTTCATGTAGGACGTGACACCTTAATGTAGGTCGTGACACCTTAATGTAGGGCATGACAACTTCATGTAGGACGAGACACCTTAATGTAGGGCGTGACACCTTAATGTAGGACGTGACACCCTAATATAACGCGTGACACCTTAATGTAGGGCGTGACAGCTTCATGTAGGACGTGACACCTTAATGTAGGGCGTGACACATCAATGTAGGGCGTGACACCTTAATGTAGGACGTGACACCTTAATGTAGGGCGTGACAATTTCATGTTGGGCGTGACACCTTAATGTAGGACGTGACACCTTAATGTAGGGCGTGACAATTCCATGTTGGGCGTGACACCTTAATGTAGGGCGTGACAACTTCACGTAGGGCGTGACAACTTAATGTAGGACGTGACACCTTAATGTAGGGCGTGACACCTTAATGTAGGGCGTGGCAACTTCATGTAGGGCGTGACACCTTAATGTAGGACGTGACACCTTAATGTAGGGCGTGACACCGTAAAGCAGGACGTGACACCTTAATGTAGGGCGTGACACCTTAATGTAGGACGTGACACCTTAATGTAGGACGTGACACCATAATGTAGGGCGTGACACCTTAATGTAGGGCGTGACAACTTCATGTAGGGCGTGACAACTTCCGCCAGCAGCCCGAACTTGGCCATACGGAGGGGTTCGAGCTACTCGAACAAACTTCAAAAATATGTAATTGGAAAGCTCTGGATGATGTTTACAACTAAGTGCATGTGACTGTGTGTTATCTGCATATGACTGTGTGTTATCCAGATAATCTAAACATGTTTACAACTAAGTGCATATGACTGTGTGTTATCCTGATAATCTAAACATGTTTACACCTAAGTGCATATGACTGTGTTATCCTGATAATCTAAACATGTTTACACCTAAGTGCATATGACTGTGTTATCCTGATAATCTAAACATGTTTACACCTAAGTGCATATGACTGTGTGTTATCCTGATAATCTAAACATGTTTACACCTAAGTGCATATGACCGTGTGTTATCATGATAATGCTTTCCATGTCATTATCCTGTACTTCTGTCAACAGTGCCAACCTATCTGAACTTAATATTATTTCAATCTGTGCGTGTGGTCCGTGCAACAAACTGCAGTATGAATATGATTTTGAACTAGTAAATTCCTGTTTGTATTGTTGGAGTACAAGAAACTAAAACAGACGATCTAGATAGTGTAGAAATAGAAATGTATACAATTCATCTGAAAAATAGAAAATCAGCTGAAGGAAATCAGGTTGTAATGGTGTATTAATCAGAAAAGATTGATCTAATTTTGTGAATGTGATCCAGACTGATTGTGGATAAAGTTAGACAAATGTATATTTCATACGGATGAGGATGTCTACATCGGAGTTGTATACATATCTCCACAGTAATCGAAATACTATCAAGATACTATACTTACAAACTAGAAAGTGAAATATTTGATTTTAAGCACTTAGTGGAAATCAACACTGCTATGACCAGACAAGTTGGCGTGAGTGACTCTGGCACGGAGGACTTGAATAAGTAAACAATATTTTATAAATATGGATTTTCCAGAAATCCGGACTTCGAAAGATATTTTAGCTCCAAATGATATAGGAAAGCTATTATTAGATTTGTGTAAATCGACATCAATTGGCAGAGACCGTGTTTATGGGGAATTAACTTGGAGAAACAGCAGTGTATGTATTGGCGTCTTTCAACGCTTCGGTGTCTAATTGTAACTTTGAGGTTATACCATATTGTGAAGTTTACAGTAATGTCCACAGTCCAGTGTGTATTACGTTGTCGGGGGTGGCGGCGGACTGGGAAACGGTGCATGGGCTTGATATCTCGATATCCCTTTGTGAACAGACCGAAGAGGTTTGACCCAGATAAATCACGGGATGCCACCGTTACTAACATGGTTGATACAGCCCGAGCGGGTCATGTTGACCCAGCCTCGGCAGTCGAGAGTTGAGCGAAAGCCCTTGAGCCAGGCCTGCTTGTATTCAGCAAGAGACCAAGTACCGAACATAGACTTTGATTCAGCTGAACAACCATTTGGTGTCAGACAACAAATTACAGTTAAACACAGGCCTTACTAAAAGAAAAAAACATTGTCCATGGTATAATAAGAGCTTTTATTAATGAAAAGAAAATATAGAAAAGCAAGTTAAAAGTACAGAAATTCAAACACAATGTCTGATATGAAAATGTAACTATACTAAACGTTTATAAAAAGAACACTGTCAAAAAGCAGTATGGTAAGTTATTTAGTGAAACATAAAGAAAATTTTCAAAAATTGTTGATGATCCGAGTGCTTTATGGATTTTTTTAAGGATAAACACAATGTGGAAAATAAGGTTTCTTTGGAAGGTTTTTTATGAGTATTTTAATGATTAGTGACAGTTAAGACTCTGATAATAATTTTGAGTTTGTTTTTTTGGCAGAAATTTAAGAAGCATGAAGCCCTTGATATGGATATGAGCGTTTGTGAAATCGTTCAGTGTATTGACAAGTTGGAAACTAAAAAAGAAGTTGGTATAGCTGAGATAGAAAATGAGTATATAATTGCTACTAAGCATTTGTTGTTAGATCCATATTATGAATTATTTAATGTGATCTTTGTAGAAAGTAATACTTTTTTAGGTCGGCTCAG